CCCCAAAACCCCAAAACCCCAAAACCCCTTTTCCCACATTTAAAAAATATATATTCAGTAAGACAAGTATGAGTTAACTACAAAAAGACCAGCTGACGAGGCACAAGCAGCTTAATATCTTCAACGGTCAGTTAGCTCAGGAAGAAGAGGAGGTCAACATCGCTTAAGAATTTTCCTCAGATGAAACCCAGGTAATCCTCCATCCGCCTCATCAATTCAAACTCCATAGATATTGAAGATTTAGACACGGAGGAGTTCAAAGAGTACGAAGAGGAGTTCGACGAGTATGAAGAGGAGTTCGGATCCAGGCAATCTATTTCTATCTGAGGGAGCCAAGCCAGGCCATCTTAAAAATTACTCCGTGGGGAGAAGCACAGGTGTTATTAGGAAAAATGTTAACCAACAGGAAGGAAAAAAAAGACTGATCACTAACTCCAAGAAAATTAGCAATACTGTCATGAACAGTGTGAAGGCGAAGAGAATTTTGGAGAAGGCAAATCTGAGAGAGTTGTTGAGGAGATCGTTGAGCAAAAAGTCGTTGAAATTGAAACTGACAATGAGCACGAATTAGATAATCTTGAAGAAAATCAAAATGAAGGAATAAATCAATACTTTAATACTGGTAACATCAACAGAGATGAATGCCATGAATATAATGATAAAGAAGCTTCTCCAGATCCACAAGAGCAGCAAGTTGATCGTGGTTTAAACCATGAGGATTATGATCATCTTAAAGCTTATGAAAATGAGCCAAACTATTACTACTAAAGAGAATACAAAGAAGATGGTTACTACAGTAAATAGCAACAGCAATATGAACAAGATGATGAAGAGGGATACCAAGATATCCAAGGATACGAGCAAGATAATAATTGCCGCCAGATGGCAGAGAATTAGTACAGGATGGAGAACTCTCCTATCACTCAGAATCTTTTAGAGGAAGAACTCACTGGATCTCCTCAGGTTTGTGAAGCTCCAAGAGCGATCAACCCAAAGTATAAATAAATACCAACTCTAATGATAGAATCATCTTATCTGGGAAAGCGAAAGACTTGAAAGGAAAAGAATCGAGAGAGAAATAAACAGAGCTCATCTTTGGACTAAGCAATTTACATCAAGAGATATTGATTGGCATCAGAATGTAAATCCAAAGAGAGCAGAATATGCTGCCAAAAACCTAAAGAGGTCTCTCTGTGGTATTTCAGTAACTCTTCAAGTATCCCAATGCTCTCTAACTCAACCTCTGTAAGGTCAACTGCTGCTAGTATTAAGAGTGAAGTATGATCCAAAGGAGGTTCAACCAAGAGATGATCGCAGAATTAACAACATATTTCATCAAATTTCATATCAAAATTTCTTTTCAGGCAAGGATGGACAGATTTCAACACCTAGCTCCCACGTAAGTCTCAAGAAGGAGCTTGGGAGAGTATTCATTACCCCAATTGATAACAGATACATGAACCAAGCCACCTCTCAGGAGGGCAAAAACAGGATGTTACACTTTTCAAATGTGTTCTAGTCTAGTAACATTTCAACTTAATAAAAGAAGAGGGGTTTTGGGGTTTTGGGGTTTTGGGG